CAACTCGTTTACCACGATCATAAATAAATTAATGAATGGATTTAATATTTTTATAGGGAAAGTATATACTTCTTAAATAGCTATGATCCAATAATTTAGCTTAAAGTTCAATTCTTTTCCATGAAGTGAATTACTTCTATATACTAATATAGTCGGCTAGAGTACTTTTTGTTTCAATTAATAGTTGGAGTACCAAAATGCTACCATCATTATCAGGGCCGGTCCTGTCCAATTTTGGGCCTATGGGCGATATACTGTTTTGGTCTTATTTCTAAGACAAATAGGAAATTTTACTTACTTAAAGTAAAAGTTACGGAATATAATAAAACTATGAGAAATTAGTATAAATAAGATTAAAAACGTGTGTATATTCCAAACTAAGATTATCATGTTTTTATTACCTAAATAGAAGTAATTATTGTCATATTTTGACAGTATTATACTTTACACATGGTAGTATTTTCCGAACATGACAGTAATTACTCATTTACTTCTATTCAGAAAATAAACACATGACGGTCCTTTTTTGGAATTCTCAAGGGGGTCAATAAGTACGCTCGCTTGTTTTGTCAATATTTTAGGAACTTGTCGCATGAAAGATCAGTTTTGTTCTCTGAATTATTATCCTCTACGCCGCGAGAGCGGTAAGAACTTAGTATTGACCAGCGTTACGTTGCTCAATTAATTGATTTTCATGTGATAGAGCGTAATCAGCCCCGAAATCTGATTACCCCGGAATAAATCCCCGTTTCCATTCATTATTAATTAAAAAGAACCTTTTAATTTAATTGCTTATTCACATTATTTTATTTTTCAAAATTCCAAATCTTGCACATCGCATTATTTTATTTATTTATTTTTAATCGTTGAATTTATTTAGTTCTTGATTCCCTTTTTTCCATCCCTGTAGAGATGATACTCGTACTTTAGTCCTATACTGCAACATATTCTTAGTGCGAGAAAACTCACATCGAGTACCAAAAGGCATCATTACCATTAGATCGATTGGGTACTATTTATTCTAATATTCCCAAGAAATGATGTGAAAAACAAACAATCTTACCATGTGCTATGTGCTGTACAAATTGATCCTTATTCATATGCTATAGTGTATTTAATTTATTTTAAACAAAATTAAAGCCAAGGGGCATCACAAAAAGTATTTTCAGATCATTTTTCTCAAAAAACAAATGCGACAAAGTGATCACTAAAACAAGGTTTTATAATTTTATAACGTGTTCAAAAAATGCACATTTTTTATCGTGTCTTAAGTTACATCCTTAAATGTTTCAAATTACCATAAACATTTAAGGATGATGAGGACCACATTTAAACATTTAACCGTGTTAGTTCAATTTCAATGATGAGGACCACATTTATAATAATTTGAACAACTGGACGATAAAATTTACAATATGTGTTATAACTGAGACACCAAAAGTGCAAAATCCTTTATGAGAATAAGAAAGGAAATAAGGTTACTTTGAAGAAAATTAAAGTAGATTATGAAAGTTAGGATATGTGAAGAAATACTACAAATAAGAGAAAAATAATTTAGCAGAATGAGAAAGTTGTAGATAAATGTAGTAAAATACAAATTAGCCGAAGAAGGTATTTATAGAAACATTATAAATTTCACCTTACGCCGAAAACTAAAGCATATAAGTCTTTCATGTATTGGTTCACCAAGCCGGCAAATGATCCAAAACGAAAACAACCAAATGGCCCCACAAGCTAAAAAACTGTTGAAAATACATACTACGTACACATTTTTAAACGTGCAGTGACGTGGGGAAATTGCCCTCATTTTCTTGACTTCCTCGGAACACACAATTACATCCTTTTTCGGGAATATGCAACTTTCTTTTACGAGAATGACTCAAGAAAACACTTGTTCAAAACAAATGAACAAATACTAAAAAATCACCGCAAGTGAAAATGGTTTCTTGAAAATTGTAGAAATGATGTTACATTAATACAAATACTAAAAAATTACCGCAAGGAACAATGCTTATTACAGGGGTCAAAAGTGTGATTTCCCCTATAAGAATAAGAATAGAAATGATGTTACATTAATGCGTATTAATGAAAAGTAGAATACAAAAGTTATACTTTGTGTAGAAATACTACATAATTAAGTGATGTAGAATTTCAAAATTTTACAAAGTTGTAGATAAATGTAGTAAAATGAAGGATAAGCAATTGAGTTATTTATAGAAAAATAATAAAATCCACCCTACCCCAAAACAAAAGCAACCCCATTGGCGCCAGAAGCTAAGCAAAGTTATGTTCAAAATTTTGACGTGCAATGGAGCAATTAATGCCCCTAACTTCTTGACTTCTTCAGGAACACACAAGTACATCATTCTTGGATCAAAAACATATTTTAACAAACAAGTACATCATTATAGATATGACAGATATAAATTTTGAAAATTGACTAAAAACATATTTTAACTCGTGAAGTAAACATATCATAATGGTAGCATGCATTTTGAAAATTGACTAAAAACAATTTTACTTGTATTAATTTGAAAAAACTTATGAGTACTTTATTAATTTTTCAAATTCATAGTCATATTAAGTCAACTATGATTCCTATGTGTTTGAATGATTAGATTATCTACATATTTGATTTTTTTTCTTGAACTGATGTATTTAGTAAAATAAAAAGACCATTTATTATTTGAAATAATTGTACCTCGTGAAAAATAAAAATAATCAAATTAATCAAACGTATGTAACTTTTTTATGAGAACGGCCAACGGATGATCATTAGAAATATATCCGTCATATCTATTTATATACTCCTTAATAAAGTTTATGTGTCTTGCTCTTTTCAATTCTCTCTTTTTTCATGAGAATGACATGTGGCTTTTTTCACTTTTAAATGTATTTTTGGACACGGAAGGAAAGAAAGGGTGGGTGGAGGACATGCATTTGGTGGGGCCCAAACTATAAAGAACCCCAATTTTGTTTAAAGTGTTATAACTTTCTCATTTTTCTCCAATTTTTACAAAAAATATATCAAAATTCATAATTTTTTGTGATATTTCATTTGAGATCAATATTGAATATATAAAAATATAATTTTTTAACTGTCTCTATATTTATGTATAAAATAACCTTATACTCCCTTCGTCCCAATTTGATAGTCCTGTTGCGGTTTATGAGATCGACTTGACTGATGATAAAGCAAATGAATTTTTGTTCGAACTCAAATTATTTGTAACAAATAAAATTTACTTATTCGAAAACTACATTAAAAGTTTTACAAAGTTGCAAAAACCTGAATCAAATTTCATAAAAATTTGATATAAAAAGTAAATGATTAAGAATAATCTGTGTTGACTAAGTGAATATGAACATGAACTAGAACCATCAATTTGGGACGGAGATAGTATATATTTATATATAGGGGAAAATATTTAAAATACCCCAAACTTTGAAGATGTGTGAGGTAAGCATCTCAAACTTGCATATGTGATTTAAATACCCCAAACTTTATATAAATAGTCATGTACTATTTTTTTCAAAAATGTCAATTTTTTGTGTTAATTTCATAATTAAAAATATTTTAGCATTCATGAATATACAATTAACATTCTAAACTTCCATTGTAAAATAAATAGTATTACCGCCACTATATATAATTGCAAAGTTTTCAATTTGATATTTTAAATTATGCAATTAACATCATAAATATAAATTTTTGAAAGAAATAATGTATTTTAGTCTTAACTTTTAATAAAAATAAAACAGTATGCTCCCATTATTAAAGTGTTATAAACCTTATTCCTTCCTTATAATAATGTCATTCAAAATTCAAAAATTAGCAAATGAAAATGATAACCACATCGGGTGCTAAACTGCTAATAAATAAAACTTCTAAATTTAATTCAATTTAATAGTACGATATTCTTTCTTTTTAAGAGACGGGACAAATATGAAAAAATTGATTAAACATTTTTTGTTTGTTTTAAACTGGTCTGATCTATTTATGTTTAGCTTGATTTAAGTTTTTTTTTTATGTTTGAATTGACTGAAGTTACTATAGGCAATCATTTTAAACTACTTTTCATATAATTCTTTTCTTTATTTCATTAATACGATATATTTTAAATTAAATTTATCCATAAATCAATAGATTCAACTAATTTAACTACTTCTCTCAGAACTTAATCCATTTGAACAGATTCAACTAATTTCACTGCTACTAAAAAAGAACAGAGGATAGTATAATGTTATTAGGCACAAGATAAGTCACCTAACAATTGAGCGGGAGAACTCTCTCTCTGCAGTATGTAGTGTTTTTCGATATAAGGTAAGTCGACTAACAATTCAATGAGATAAATTTCTCTCTCATATGTAGTGATTTTAGATATAAAAAGATAAATTTGCTAATAACTAAGTGGGAGAATTTTTTCTCTCATATGTAGTGCTTTTAGGTATCAGAAGATTAGCTTGCTAACAATTGAGCGGGATAAATTTCTATTTCATATGTTGTTCTATTTAGTACTACGTATATAAGATAAGATAAGCCTACAACGACAATTGAGCAGGATATTTTTCTCTTTCATTTGTATTGCTTTTAGCTATAATAAGAAACTAAAAAGATAAGCTTGCTAATAATTGACCAGGATAATTGTCTCTCTCATATGTAATGCTTTTTAGTATAAGGTAAAATAAGTCATCTAACAATTGATGAGAATTTTTTCTATAGACAATTATATGTGTCCATCTTTCCACAATTCTTCTTTTGCTATGAAAAAGACATATGACCACTTTTTATTTCAATGCTACCGAACCAAGGAAAGGAAGAGCAGCCCCAAGGGAAATGGAGTTGGTGGGCCCAAGTTATAAAAAATCCTAAATTTGTTTCAAGTGTTATAACTTTTTCATTTTTGCTCCAATGTTTCTAAAAAATATACCAAAATTCATAATCTTTTGTGTTCTTTCATATGAAATCAATATTGAATATATAAAATATAATTTATTAACAGCCTCAATAATTATGCTTAAAATTATTTATATTTATATACTCCCCCCGTTCCATAAAATTTGGCCAAATTGACTTACACGTAGAATAATAAAATAAAAAATGTGTAGTTGATATTTAACGGGCCATGAAAGAAACATTGTAGAAGATTACCAACGGTAAAAAGAAGCCAAATCGAACTCAATTTTAGAAAAATGAAAATAAACTTGCGAATAAAAGTTCACACTATTCATAATTATAAGCTTCACATTGATCTTTGGAGTGTTGGTATGGCTAAAATTCATTTACCTTTTTCTTACTCAATCACAACCTCACTTTTCCACTTTCTTCTCACTTTCTTAGAGCCCGTTTGGTAATACCAAAATCGACTGAATCGCCTGATTCTACTGAAATTAATGAAATTCTGGCAGAAATGACCGGAGTGGCTGATTTTCTGATTTGGTCTAAAAAACGGAATGTGGTGCATCAAAGATCAGGACTGTAAAAGAAAGGTGTTCGCATGCAAACAAACAAAGTCATATCTTGTTGGAAGGACCCGAGTCAGCTTCGTTGTTGTGGATGCCCAAGTCAAATCCGTTGTCACCTATGGGAGGGTCGGTGCCTTCAAAATACATCTCCCAAGTATCGATGTCGGCTTGCGGATCCCATTTGTCGGCTTCACCGTCAAGAAAAGACTCCATAATATCCTTCTTGGTTTGCCAAGTATAGAATCCCGCGGCATCAATCACCTCCTGCCTTTTTCTCCCACCATACTCCTCAAGGGATTTTATCCTATCCGTTTTCATCTTTATTTCCTCCTTCAATTTTTCAAGGGAGAACTATCAAATAAGCCCTCGAACTTTCATAAAAAGTGCAAATAAGCCCCTTTTATAGGAGGCTCTGTCCGGCCGTCACCATTTGGAGCGGTTTCCGGTGTAATTTTTTGATGAATTTTTTGAGTATTATCTTTATTACGTCTAGTTTATTCATACCAAATTTCAGTTAAAAATTCAATCGGGAACGCAGTCAAATGAATTTTTGAAGATAACTGCGCAGTTAGACAGCGCAATATATTTCAGAAAACCATTTGACTCCCTTCTCGATTGAATTTTAAGCTGAAATTTGGTATGGGTAAATTAGACTTCATGAAGAAGATACTCAAAAAATTTAATAAAAAAATTCCACCGGATACCGTCCCAAATGGCGACAGCCGGACAAAGCCTCCTGTAAAAGGGCTTATTTGCACTTTTTATGAAAGTTCTAGGACTTATTTGATAGTTCTCCCATTTTTCAATTATGCGGAGTTTGCCTTTTCATCCAAGATGGATTTCTCCTGAGAAAGATCGGACAGTTTCTTTTCAATCTCTTCCTCAGCACGCTGGGAAGATTGCAGGTCATCCTCCAAAGCTTGCATTCGTTTAGTAGCAGCCAAATTGGCCTGCAACATCTGATGAACACGAACGAAGTATAAAAAGAATCAAATACCCTCAGAGCGCAAGTATAAGCACGGGTCAAAGGTAAGGCACCTGAAGAGCCAGAGCAGATGAAGTAGCCAAAATATCGACATTGGATGAGCCAGAGAAGGCGTCAATGGCAGAAGGCAAGAGCTTCTGCGAAATGTCGTCCCTCAACACACTGTCAAGGCAACGGAGATTAGGAGAAAGCTCGGGTTTCGCAGGAATTCGCTCGTTTGATGGGGGCACACTCACAGACTTATCGGTAGGGACTTGAGGCGGCAATAAACTGATCACCGCTTGAGCGGCACTGGCAGCAGGGAGCAAAGAGGCAGCAATTTTCCTCTTCTTAGAGGCTAAGTGCAATAGCTCAATCGGATTCAGAGGTTTGCGCGCAACGGAAGAAGACAACACAACTGACAAATATATTGAATCATCACCGCGTCAGATATAAGGAAAAGGCAGTAGAGGAAATAACAAGAACGGCAGTAATTTACCAGAGGAGGAAGTCGAAGGCTTGGGGGCAGCTATGGTACGGATCATTGAAGCGCACTCTTCCTGAACTACAGCGCCATCTGTAGTGCTCAGAATGTCGTCCTCCTTCTCGGAACTTTCAATTGAAACAACCGACGTATCTTGACATGAACCAGGTGACCTAGACACATTTCGAGAGGAACGCCGCAATCCGACACGAACTGGACTGACAGAGGGGGAATTAAAAACCATACCTCAAAATTCCGATTTGAGCTTAGCATAGCGTCGAATCTCAGGACTCAAAGACAGGAAAGCATTGGTCCTCTCCTCCGCCTGAGGACCATGTTCCAATTGGAAGGTCTTCATTTCACCTGAAAGTAGAGAAAGATCATATGACAAAAGAATAATTTCAAAAAAAATGAGTATACGGAAGCGAAATGCAGCGCACCAGTGGTCCGCAGGCGATCAGGAAGAGACTCCCCATGTTCACCCAATGATGACTTTTCAATGAAGAAAAACTTGGCTAACCATCCTCTGTCGTTCGCATTACTAATACCCAAAATCAAAGGTTCTTTGCCAGGTTTAACGGTCAATATGAACCTTCCTTTCCCTGACGTTCGGAGGTCATAGGTGAAGCCCAAATCTCGTGAGGTATAGGACAAGTTTTTCTTCTCAATAAGAAACTCCAGGGCGCGAAGGAGCCTCCAGGTTTGCGGCATGATTTGACAGGGAGATACCCTAGCCAAGAGGATAAAACCATTTACCAGTTCGGAAAAAGGGAAGCGAACGCCTAATTTCTCAAATGGGTACTGACAAAAGTTAACCCAGCCAGGGCATATCCAATCTACTCGTTCGCCACGATGGGGATAACGAATCTTCGCAGAAGAAGGGAAACCATATGAGGACTCAATCTCCTCTCTATCCTTGAAACGTAGATCTTCGGCTCTGAGATTCTTGGCTTCGAAGACATCTTGACTCGTGAACACAGCAGGATCCATGGTGAAGCTGGGAAGGCAGGACAATAGAAGGGAACGCGTCGCTAAGGGAGTTGAAAATGAGTATAAGAGAATGAGGAAGAAGGGATTAAAGGTTGCGAAAAAGGTGCCAGCTTTCCGAGGAGTTTGACAATCCCTGGGAACGAGAAGTGTGCAGAGCGGAAGAAGGCTTTTTGAATTCACAATGATGACTACGTCTCGCATGCTTGACCCGTCACCGATGTGAATAGGGGCAATTGTTGGGCCATGCCGTTTCATGTCACTAAATATTGGGTCGTGTTGTTGTTCATAAATGAAACATTGGGCCAAGGATGGACTATGTGGCAGAAATAATAAACAGGAGCCGGAAAGAAGTCTACCTAAGTGAAAGGGGGATAGATATACTTCAAACGGTTGGAAACTAAGTCAAATGAAGATTGAGATAAGCCTAAGCGGTTAGACGTGGGGAGAGAAAATAGGAAGCTGACGCAAATCTTGTGGGACAAGTAGTGTTTGATCTGATAAATAGACTATGGATTCATAAAAGAAGGGACATGATCACTCAATCAATTATGCTAAGTAATTCTGCTGCATTCTTGTATTCACACTATTATATTCGAATTATTAAATATCATCCGTATTTGCATTACTCAATTACTCCATAGTTGATTCATATTTGTTCGATTCCCGTTTCAATTTTAGATTAGTTTAAATGTAATCATTTAAAATTATACTGGTTTAGTATATCTGTAGCAGTTGTTAGATAGTGTTATCTTTTTCGGAATGAGTTCCCCCTTTTCTGTATGCCTGGTTTGATTTGTAAACATGATTAAGTGCATCCAGATTATTTGGACATCTCACAAAGAAAAAGTTGCAAAAACAATTCAATTCTGATATAAATACTAGTTAATTCATGCCATCGTAATTCGTACCACCTTGGCTCTCGACAGCGTACCAGCGAAGCTAGTGTTGGCGGAAAGAGCTTAATGGGCGTATGCATCTTTGGTTTCACCTGGGCCATCCTCGTTAGCTGAACCTCCAATGCAGTTTCGGCCATTGACACTGAAGTGAAGCTTCTTCTGAAAACCCATTCTGCTTTAATTTGTTGTGAAAGGTGGAGAACTAAAAATGTCAAAGATCATGTTTGATAATAGCAGAACCCTAAAAATGTCAACTACTCCTTCCGTCCCGCAATTATCTTCATACTTTCCTTTTCGGTCCGTCCCAAATTTATCTCATTTTTCCCTTTTTGGTAAAGAATATGTGGTTCACAACCAATTGTTACACATTTATCTCCCCTCTGCATAATTCTCCAGCACACAAATCTCACTATCTTAAAACCCATGTCCGGTCAAAACCGGAGTTAAATATGGGACGGAGGGAGTATCATATTTGATAATAGCAGTTGACCTCTAGCTAATAGGCGGTTAAATCATCAGATTGATACTAGCGGATTCCGTTAACTTTTTTAACTAACTGTTTTCATTAACGGTTTGAAAATAAAATATTAGTAACTTAGTTGTTTGCAATTAATTTTTAAGACGTAAAATGACCATTATGGATATGAATTTAGAAGTTTGTATATTTAACTTCATTTTATTTCTTTTATTTTTAACATGTCTTTAACATGTCTTCAACACGCACATATAAATTCATATATTTTAAGTATTAATATCTTAAATATGACCTTTTATTAGTTTTTTAAATCTACTCCATTTAAAAATATTACTCCAAAATTATATTCCACCTGAAACTTTTATTTTATATGTAATATTTTTGTTATTTTATACGGAGTAGCATTTTTAAAGATCTTATAAAATAGTCATATTTACAATATTCATACTAAAAATAAATAAATTTGTGTGTGTCTGCTCGTGTTGATGTACGTATGTTAACAGTGATGGTGGTATTAGTTCTTTAAAATAAACGTAAATATTTTTTAATTTTTTGCCAAGAATTATTAAACTATATAAAATTAAATATATATACTTTTAAATTAATATCCTTAATGGATGTTTTACGTGTTAACATTTAATCGCAAAGAGTTAAGTTACTAAAATTGTATTTCAAATTGCTAATGAAAGTTATTAATTAAAAAGCCAACAGAATTTGCTATACTTAGACCTCCATTTTTTATGACAAATTTAAAGTTGAAGGATTGAATAATGTGAATTTCAAAATATTTATCAATTTATGATATGAAATGTAGAGAATTTTAAAGTGATAATCAAAAGTGACACATTCACACAAAAAGTTGACCAATCAATGTGACTTTTTTCACCAATGTACTTCAATTTGGTAAATAGTATCTATGGTTGTTTTTTTTACCAATTTGGTAAACCACCTTTTTTCAATTAGTTATTGTAGCTATTGTCCTAAATAGGACTGATGAGTCTCTAAAAAGTACAAATAGAACTACTACTTTTTAAATTCCCTAAATAGGATTAAACATTGATTTTCAACCCTAAATATCCCCAAGGGTATAATTCATAATGAAATGTTTTAATTAATAATAAAATCATAAAAAATAATAAAACATCATAAAAAAATCGTAAAACATTAATAACATATTTATAAATAAAAATTTTAAAAAAAATTGTTGAATTTTAAAAAAAAATTAAAAATAGTAAAAACCCATAAAAAAATAAAAGTATGTATACCTATTCCACCGCCTCCCACCACCACCATCTCCCACCACCACCACCTTCAATCGGTGAAAATGTTGTCACTTTGTAAAAAATGTCATTTTTTCGGAAAATGCCAAAAAATGACATTATTACTCTTCATTATGCCAACATTTTCATTGAATCTTCTATCATTATGGTATCACTAAAAATGTTGCTAGATTTTTCCTCCGGTGATGGGAGCTGGTGGTGGAAGAGTCAGCAGTTTTTTTACTTTTTTAACTTTTTTTTCAATTTTTTTTTGTTTAAAAAAAATAATATTTTTATTTTATAAATATTTTTTATTAATTTTTTTGTTTTTTTTTTACGATTTTTGTTATTTTTTAAGATTTTATTATAACTAAATCATTTCAAAAGCTACAAGAGCATATTTGTCCAAATACTTTAAATAGTCCTATTAGGGGAATTTAAAAAATGTAGTCCTGTTTGTGCAATTTTGTCACTTTTTAGTCCAATTTAGGTAATTTGCCCGAATAAGGACTAAAACTAGGCTAAATCACAACTAAGAATACACCCATAACCCACGTAGTACAGATACTTCATTAGGATACCGTATCGGCGTATCGGAAACGTTCTCGTATCCGATACTCTAGGATACCCGTACCGTACGTTTTCGGGCCGTATCTGTAATTTTTAAAAGTTTCCAATTTTTTGGTAAGTATTTAAAACTTTCGGATACTCGTATCCTGACGGATACATGTATCAACTTTTTAAAAAAAACACCCACAATTTACATAATGAATTTCATAAAAATTAAAACCTAAAAATAAATTTTATCTTTCTTTTATGGGGTACACAACTAATGAGCCTATCCCTAGTTCACTCATTTGTAATTTACTTATCTGGTCTATCTTTAATTCACTCATCTTTTATGTGGTACACAACTAATGTGTTCATCATTGTCTTTTTGAATGACGATATTATCCTAGAAATTAGTAGCTCCAGAGGAAACATGTATTAGAACATTTAAAATATGGTTTTCTATCTTCATTACCCAAGAACTTTGAGTACTTTTACTTTTAAATTTAAAACCGTGGTTGTTTGACTTGTTTCTCATTATAAACTAATGACTTATTATGGTATTAACTATATTTATATTTCAAGATTACTAGTATATATGAGATACAATATAATTTTATTTCTAATTATCTTGATAATGTGAAACGTTTCAATGTCATGAATAAGTAGAGGTCGGAGGATAATATATGTATATATTTTCAAAAAAAAAATGTAATTTTTAATATTTATACACACCCTATAATTTTTAATATTTATAAATACACATCCATAACTTTTAATACTTATAAATATACCCTCGTATCTGTATCCTGCTTTTTTTTTGTCGTATCCCCGTACCCTTTTCCACCGTTCCGCATACCTGTATCGGTGCTACATAGCCCCTAACCATTCACAAATAAGACTACACACTAATTTTGTGCCTAAAATACCCCCTAAGTGTTTTAATTCATAAGGAAATGTTTTAATTCATGATAAAAGCGTAAAAAATAAAAATTGTAGAAAAATGACAAAAAATAATAAAATATTTATAAAAAATAAATAATAATAAGAAGAAAAAAGAAAAAAATATAAAAAAATTTAAAAATATATGGATGACTTTCCCACCGCCTCTACTGCCTCCCTGCACCACCACCTCCAACCGGTGTAAAAAAATTCATTTTTTGTTAAAAATACCATTTTTTCTGAAAAAACCAAACAACGACATATTACTTTTTGCTAATGCCAAAATTTTCATTGAAATTATCATTAATATGACATTACTAATGCATGTCACATTTTTGTTTCGATGATTGGAAGTGGATTTTTTTCTTTTAATTTTTTTATTTAAAAAAAATTAAAAATATTAAATTTTCATTGTATTTGTACAATTTTATTATTTTTATATGTATTAACATATTTCAAAAACTACAAGGAGTAATGTAAACCTGTTTGTTTGTGATTACAGACTAATTTTTACTAAGGTAATTAACTCTTTGTAATAATTCCCAAACGAAAACAAAAACTCTGTATTTGGCCGGATACTTCTTAAAAACAATTTTGCTATAGGTACCCCAATTCCTACCCCATATAAAAGCCCTCCAAATAATTTACCCCCAACCTCCCTCACGTGCGTCCCTCACCTTTCCCACTCACCTCCAACCTTTCCAAATCTCCCGCTCCCACCTTTCCCCTTCCCCACAACTTTCGAAAAACAACCCTCGGCGGTGAACCCCCACCGCCTTGCAGACCTCCGTTTCCAAATGTCTGAGTCGTCGCGTTGCACACCAGCCCAAATTCAAGAGCTTCACCGAGTTTCAACCCGCCCCGACCCATCCGTGAATTGAAGCAGTGTTTCGTGAGCACCCCCTCGTTGCAGACCTTTGTCCCTGTTTGTCCAAGTTCGTCCGAGCACTGTTCAGGTTCGTCCAAGTTCGTCCGAGCAAATTGCAGACCTCCGTCCCTGTTCGCCCATAACCCATTTTGAAGATTTTTGACTCCATGGTCCTCACAAGCTTATCACAAATGGCTGAAAGGTATGGAATTTGTTCAATTTTTGTTGAATTTATTTTATATTGGTGTGAATGGAGTTGTAATTTTAGTGTTGTTTGTCATTATGTTTGTGAATACTTTGAAGTTGTTGTGTGTGATAGAACTCTTGAAAGTAGGTTTGTAGTTGTCTATGATGCCAATGGAGTTGTCTGGCAAGACATATGACAGATCTGGCTGGTCAATTTGAATTTTAAAAATTAGGTTTTTAGTTGTCTGTGAAGTATTTGAAATTGTCTGGCAAGCCATTACTCAAAGAAATTGGTTGAAATTATACATGGCTTTTGAACTACAAGTTCCCGTGTCGAAGCAGTTTCCTGCCCAGTATTCTGTGTGCTCATTTTTCAAAGAGGCCGGAAGCTTGGTGCAGTCTGCCTTGACTGAAACAACTTGAGGAGTTTAAGAAGCTGTCGTGGGGCCACCTCATATCTGTGCCAGAAATGCAATTTTCGGGACAAATTATCCATTCTCTTCTGCTCAGGCTTGTACGGGACCAACCCGATGACAAATTATGGTTTTGTATTCAAGGGAAGCTGTTGAAGTTTACCTACACAGATTTCTGCCGCATCTCTGCGATTAAAGCATCGAGGGAAAAGCCTGTATTCAGTACTGATGAAGAGGTTTGGGGGAAGGTGTTTGAGAAGTACTTTGCTGGATCAACGGACATAACCTTCAAGACGCTGAAGGAAAAGCTGAAGGCATTCAAGCCTAAAAGAGGAGATTCCACTGACCCTCTGAAGCTAGTGTCCTTGTGTTACCTTGTGAGTGCTCTGCTTGCAAGAGATAACAAAACAAAAATAAATTTAGACTATGTCAAATGGGCGGACGAGTTTGAGAAGTTTACGATGTATAACTGGGATTTAGAGTCCTACAACATAATGGTTGAAAACCTGAAAACTGTCATGAAAGGTCAGCCCGGGAGGTTCAAGAAAAGCAATGCCAAAAATGCCAAGTTCACTCTATACGGATGTCATCATATTCTACAGGTAATGTAAACAGACAGACATTTATATGTACATACAGACATTTATATGTACATATTTTGGGCAGACAAATATTTTAATTTTTCTACATATAGGTTTGGGCGTATGAGACTGTTCCTAACCTTGGAGAGAAATTTGTTGAACGAGTTGGTAATGAAGACATCCCTATGCTGAACTGGAAAGCTGATGGATTCTTTCATGCACGGAAGCTGAATGAATTGGTTTTCAAGGACAATGATGATGTATTATATCTTATTTTCTTAAACTTAAGCAATTTGTCATAACATCGTATTATATAATTCAATTGTTTCATGTGTAGGAGGAAGAAGCAGAGGAAGATGTTGATGAGGATGATGAAGAAGAAACAGAGAACGAGGATGAAGAAGTAGGGAGGAAGGGGTTCAAGACCAAAGTCATGGAGGAGATTAAAGCTCTGCGGAAGAATGTGGCAGATTTGGAAACGAGGTTGAAGTTGATGGAAGAGATGGTGAGTGCACCGTGTGGTGTGTCAAACAATGTGGCTGAGGTATGGAAGATTTGATTTGTTATTCATTGTTTATTTCGGACTAGTAGTGTTAATACTATTGTTTGGCAGGTTGATGGCAATGAGGTTGATGCTAATGCCATGCAAATGGATGATCATGACGACCCAACACACACTGAAGAATGTGGCCCAACGGCCGTTGTAGATGATGCAAACAATGTGAAGGAGTCTGATGTCACTACACCTTCGGTTGAGATCATCTCAACCATCCTCAATGAAGTAAGTCAATATGTCTGTCTAGTTCAATCTAATTGTCTGTCTAGTTCAATCTAATTGTCTGTCTCCAGACATTTTAACACACTTTTGGATGTGGCTGATTTTATGTAGCTGGCTGATGTTGTGGATAATTCAAAGGATGAGAGGGAGTGTGATCCTACTACAGCTTCCAATCCGATCATCTCACCGGCTCTTCTTGATGTAAGTTAAAATGTCGGTCTCATTGTATTGAATTGTCTGTCTACAAACATCTTCACAATCTCAATCATTTGACTATTTTATAAGGTGGCTGCTGCTGAGCTCACTAATCCTGCCCCTTGTGATGAAACATGCCCCATAAAAACTCCCGCGAATCAAAACATCTATATGGATGTGCTTTTGAAAAGGCCAAGATACCCTTCGAAGTATAGGGTCAGCCCTTATACCGAACCAAGAGCTTCAAAGCGGGCCAAACACATTATTGAACCCAGTCTTGAAATCCACCCAATCTTCATTGCTGAAACAGTTGAGGAATGGAATGAACTTAAAGATTGGATAGAAGGTGATGAGAGTCAACCCCCTCTTAATGTAGTTCTCATGATCCCTGATGAATTTGAAGTCAACAGAGGTTTTTTCCAAGACTTGGTCACATGTAATCTATGGTTGGCCAGCTATGTAAGTTCAAGTACCCCTTTTTTTAAGCATGTACATGCCATCACATGCATTTACAATGTATTACATGACTTCTAGTGTACGTGTGTGACTGTTTTTTTAGCATCTTGATGCCATCACATTCATATTGAATCATGACTATGCTCGAGATGACTGTACTGTACTCAGCCCCTACCTTGTGGTATGTATGAAATACATTAGTTAATTAGTTAATTGTCTGCTTGTTAGTCATAGATCAGTTAATTATTCCAGACTACTAATGTCTAGCCCAGACAGAGTTTGTTTGGTTGTTAGTCACATATTAGTTAATTATTCCAGACTACTAATGTCTGGACCAGACAAAATTTGTCTGATAGGATAACAAACTAATATATTAAATCTGTTTTGTAGCATCAAATAATGAAAAAGTCAGAAGGCGATGTCAAAAAATATTGTGATGATAAACTTCTAACCAAACAAGATTGACGCTCATTTCAAAGGGTAATCCTTAGTGTTAACACATGCGTACGAATGCTTGAAATGCATGTTTAGTTTGTTACTTTTTGGTTGTAGGTTTTACTCCCTTTTTGATAAGTGGATAACAAGCATTGGGTATTGGCAGAAGTGGATATTCAAAAAAAATTGGTCAGGGTTTACGATTCCTTGAAGATGGGCAGAAGCGTTTTTTATGTTAGGGAACTGTGTGAACGGCTACCGTATCTCCATCGCGTCTTTACGAAGTCACCGGAAGACTGTGAAGCCCTACCATGGGTTGCCGAGTTAGTTGATGGTGTTCCGCAGCAGGGGAGAGGGTATCAATTTCAACTTGTAATAGTTGTCTGGCTTCATTGTAATTGTCTGTCTATAGGTCTGAAGAATGTCGTAATTGTCTGTCTACAGGTCTGGAGAATGTGGAGTGATGGTTGCAACCTTTGCAGAGCACCTTTTAATGGGCAAGCCTTTGCTTCCAGATTGTGAATATTCAAACATGTGAAACAAGAGATGCCAATATGTTGTCCGTTTGTGGCGACTAAAGAAAGTGGTTGAAGCATAGGACTTTTCTATAAATCATGAATCTCTCTTTTTTGTGGAGTATTGAACAACTGTTAATTTGTAATGTTGTACAATGTTCAATAGTTGGATGGAACATAATGTTTTGTTTTTGTATATAATGTATTTTTGTAATGTAGCATCGTTTACATAATTATCAACAAAAGCAGTAAGTGCACATTCCAACTATTTGTTCAATTCAAAGTACAAACAATGGTAATTCAAAGTAATCGAAGGTTCAAATCCAACTCTTTTTCATTCATACAGGGCGTTACTACAGTTAAATCATAAATTTCTTGATGGCATGCTTAAAAAAAGGGGTACTTGAACTTACATAGCTGGCCAACCATAGATTACATGTGACCAAGTCTTGGAAAAAACCTCTGTTGACTTCAAATTCATCAGGGATCATGAGAACTACATTAAGAGGGGGTTGACTCTCATCACCTTCTATCCAATCTTTAAGTTCATTCCATTCCTCAACTGTTTCAGCAATGAAGATTGGGTGGATTTCAAGACTGGGTTCAATAATGTGTTTGGCCCGCTTTGAAGCTCTTGGTTCGGTATAAGGGCTGACCCTATACTTCGAAGGGTATCTTGGCCTTTTCAAAAGCACATCCATATAGATGTTTTGATTCGCGGGAGTTTTTATGGGGCATGTTTCATCACAAGGGGCAGGATTAGTGAGCTCAGCAGCAGCCACCTTATAAAATAGTCAAATGATTGAGATTGTGAAGATGTTTGTAGACAGACAATTCAATACAATGAGACCGACATTTTAACTTACATCAAGAAGAGCCGGTGAGATGATCGGATTGGAAGCTGTAGTAGGATCACACTCCCTCTCATCCTTTGAATTTTCCACAACATCAGCCAGCTACATAAAATCAGCCACATCCAAAAGTGTGTTAAAATGTCTAGAGACAGACAATTAGATTGAACTAGACAGACAATTAGATTGAACTAGACAGACATATTGACTTACTTCATTGAGGATGGTTGAGATGATCTCAACCGAAGGTGTAGTGACATCAGACTCCTTCACATTGTTTGCATCATCTACAACGGCCGTTGGGCCACATTCTTCAGTGTGTGTTGGGTCGTCATGATCATCCATTTGCATGGCATTAGCATCAACCTCATTGCCATCAACCTGCCAAACAATAGTATTAACACTACCAGTCCGAAATAAACAATGAATAACAAATCAAATCTTCCTTACCTCAGCCGCATTGTTTGACACACCACATGGTGCACTCACCCTCTCTTCCATCAACTTCAACCTCGTTTCCAAATCTGTCACATTCTTCCGCAGAGCTTTAATCTCCTCCATGACTTTGGCCTTGAACCCCTTCCTCCCTACTTCTTCATCCTCGTTCTCTGTTTCTTCTTCATCATCCTCATCAACATCTTCCTTTGCTTCTTCCTCCTACACAAGAAAATAAGATATAATACATCATCATTGTCCTTGAAAACCAATTCATTCAACTTCCATGCATGAAAGAATCCATCAGCCTTCCAGTTCAGCATAGGGATGTCTTCATTACCAACTCGTTCAGCAAATTTCTCTCCAAGGTTAGGAACGGTCTCATACGCCCAAACCTATATGTAGAAAAATTAAAATGTTTGTCTGCACAAAATGTGTACATATAAATGTCTGTATGTACATATAAATGTCTGTCTGTTTACATTACCTGTAGAATATGAGGACATCCGTATAGAGTGAACTTGGCATTTTTGGCATTGCTTTTCTTGAACCTCCCGGGCTGACCTTTCATGACAGTTTTCAGGTTTTCAACCATTATGTTGTAGGACTCTAAACCCCAGTTATACATCGTAAACTTCTCAAACTCATCCGCCCATTTGACATAGTCTAAATTTATTTTTGTTTTGTTATCTCTTGCAAGCAGAACACTCACAAGGTAACACAAGGACACTAGCTTCAGAGGGTCAGTGGAATCTCCTCTTTTAGGCTTGAATGCCTTCAGCTTTTCCTTCAGCGTTTTGAAGGTTATGTCCGTTGATCCAGCAAAGTACTTATCAAACACCTTCCCCCGAACCTCTTCATCAGTACTGAATACAGGCTTTTCCATCGATGCTTTAATCCCAGAGATGCGGCAGAAATCTGCGTAGGTAAATTTCAACAGCTTCCCTTGAATACAAAACCATAACTCGTCATTGGGTTGGTCCCGTACAAGCCTGAGCAGAAGAGAATGGGTAATTTGTTCCGAAATTGCATTTCTGGCACAAATATGAGGTGGCCCCATGGCAGCTTCTTAAACTCCTCAAGTTGCTTCTTGGTCAAGGCAGACTGCACCAAGCTTCCGGCCTCTTTGAAAAATGAGCACACAGAATACTGGGCAGGAAACTGCTTCGACACAAGAACTTGTAGTTCAAAAGCCCTGTATAATTTCAACCAATTTCTTTGAGTTATGGCTTACCAGACAATTTCAAATACTTCACAGACAACTATAAACCTAATTTTTAAAATTCAAATTGACCAGCCAGATCTGTCATATGTCTTGCCAGACAACTCCATTGGCATCATAGACAACTACAAACCTACTTTCAAGAGTTCTATCACACACAACAACTTCAAAGTATTCACAAACATAATGACAAACAACACTAAAATTACAACTCCATTCACACCAACATAAAATAAATTCAACAAAAATAGAACAAATTCCATACCTTTCAGCCATTTGTGATAAGCTTGTGCGGACCGTGGAGTCAAAAATCTTCAGAATGGGTTATGGGCGAACAAGGACGGAGGTCTGCAATTTGCTCGGACGAACTTGGACGAACCTGAATAGTGCTCGGACGAACTTGGACAAACAGGAACGGAGGTCTGCAACGAGGGGGTGCTCACGAAACAGTGCTTCAATTCACGGATGGGTCGGGGCGGTTTGAAACTCGGTGAAGCTCTTGAATTTGGGCTGGTGTGCAACGCGACGATTCAGACATTTGGAAACGGAGGTCTGCAAGGCGGTGGGGGTTCACCGCCGAGGGTTGTTTTTCGAAAGTTGTGGGGAAGGGGAAAGGTGGGAGCGGGAGATTTGGAAAGGTTGGAGGTGAGTGGGAAAGGTGAGGGACGCATGTGAGGGAGGTTGGGGGTAAATTATTTGGAGGCTTTTATATGGGGTAGGAATTGTGGTAAGTTTGGGGTACCTATAGCAAAATTGTTTTTGTAAAGGGATAAAAGGGATGGTAAAAATAAGGGTATTTATATTGGGTAGGAATTGGGGTAAGCTTGGGGTAACTGTATCAAATTTGTCTTAAAAAAGGAACAAAACAGTGTTCGTCGCAGCCGTTGTCTCCTTTTATAGTTTGATGCCATACAGAGACTAGCGGAGGACACAGATGAGAGGAGCCGCCCGTTTCAACACCAATCTGCGGCGCGTGCGAAGGAATGGACGAGATGGGGATGCGGCCTAGTAGAGCCTTGGGCTTCCAACCGACATGGTCCCTTCTCGTGTCCAACGCCTCTGGAAGAGTGGAAGGCTGCTCCTTCCCCAATCCACATACATGCGCGTAATTGTTAAATATGGATTGAGCCGCGGTTATGATGGAATCAAGCTTTTGAAGTGTCAAATCAATTTTGTGATCTCGTAAAACTGAGGGCGGAGTTGCAGAGCTGCTGTTAATATGGAGGTTTGATTTATTTGTTTGAGCATTTCCTGTGATAGAAATATAAGGGAAAGGAAATGGCGGAGAGCCCGAGACTGGTAAACCTTTTACCAAATTTGGTTACGCTTCGAGTAAAAATACCGACATTTCCGAATTCCGAGGCTAGAGCTCTTCGTCACCATACGTTACATCCGTTACTAATTACGGATAATAATATATTATCTTCTAATTAGCCGTGGAACAGTGGAAGAAACGTATCAACGTGTCAACTGGGGGGCATAAGCATTGCCAGCAGGTGACGAATCTGCCTATAAAAGTAGCGGCAGCGGTGATCTTGGGAGTAGGAACTCTTGAGAATCTGAACATTAGAAAATGGACGGAGTATCTGCTGGTGCAGCAATGGGGACTCCGGCGAGTTTGGTTTCCAGATGTGTTGTGACCGCTTGCTCCATTGCCTCTCTGCTCATCATCTGCTATACTTCTGACTCCAATGACTCCTATGAGTCCTATTCCTTCTGGTACTTTAAGTTTGTACTTGGTGTGACACTGTTTGATTTTTTTTTGGTTAAATTTGTTTCTCTGTCTCATTTACTACTACATGTGATTGACAGTGGTCTCTTCATTTGTTGGTTGTGAGCCCAGTTGTTCAATCTTGTCTTGTTTGTCAGTTTCTTTTTGTGAATAGTTATCTTGAGGGAGAGTGCTTATGCTGCTGGAATGTAAACCAGTACAGCTATTTTTTTTAGCAATCTGTTTAGTCAAATTTCATACAGGCTTAAAAGTTCTTATGCTTAGGAAGATATTGATGAAGCCTGATCAGATTAGTTGATGCTACCTATATCTGATTTGGGATATCCCTTGCTGGTTTTGGATGATAAAGTAAATAACTACGTATATATTTGGGGTTCGGGGTTCATCTATTAGGTGTGGAGAAACAAGAGAGTTTGTAATTTTGAACTGAAAGGAGACTGGAGGATCAATCAATGTTTTTCAAGAAAATAATAACTTGAAGGATAAGAAGGGGATGGGGCCTGGGGGGATCATGGGGGTGTATTTCTACTTCCATTTTCTCAGAGTAGGCGTAACTCCCAACCCAATTAATAATTAAATCTGTTCAGATTCTCTAACTTTGGGGATTCTTTTTGTTAATAAAGTAATTTACTATTATGTGCTGTTGGTGAGATATGAGATCATTTATAATATCATTCCCTACCTGTTCTATTACTATTCTTCCTGTATTTTTGCTCTGTATATATTAGTGAGTGTGTGTGATACATATTCATATTGCTTGCAGGCTTTTGGCCAGTGTAATGGGATTGCTGATACCATGGAGTTTGGCAATGGCAGTTGCGGATGGCTACTTCATCTTCATTCTCAGAAATCGAACCCTGCATCCTGGGTTAACTCGTGCTGTTATCGCAACAGACTGGGTAGAGCCCATACTTATTTATGTTTTTCTACCCTGTGTATTCTTTTCTCTGGATAAAGTTATATTTGAAGTATTTTTCTGTATTCTTCCACAATGACAACAGATGTTTGCGTTCATGTCTTTCGCCGCATCCTCGGCCACTGCTAGTACAGCAGATTTCCTGTTCCCTGCCTGTGGGATCACCGCATGCCACCATTATCAGATAGCGGCTGCAGCAGGTTTCTTATGCTATGTGCTCCTGTATGGTTGCTCTCTTTTCAATCTATGGATCCTTCCGTGGCTATAATGATGAGTTGTACTTTTTACTGCATGACAGATTTTAGACTCAAATTATATACCTATTTATAACTAATTTTCGATTTTAAATGTAATCATTTAAAATATTACTGGTTTAGGCTTTAGCTTATCTGTAGCAGTTGTTAAATAGTGTTATCTTTTTTGGAATGATTTTCCCTTTCTGTATGCCTGTTTTAATTTGTAAACTTGATTAAGAGCATCAAGATTTGGACATTTCACAAAGAAAAATTTGCTGAAACTTCTCAATTGCAATATAAATACTAGTTAGTTCATGCATAATGACAGATGTAGTATTGTAATTCGTACCACCTTAACTACCTTAGCTCTCGGCAGCGAGCCAGCAAAGCTAGTGTTGGCTGTAAGAGATTAATGGGCGTTAGCATCTTTGGTTTCACCTGGATCAGCCTTCTTAGCTGCAACTCCAACGCAGTTTCGGCCATTGACACTGAAGTGAAGCTTCTTCTGAAGTCCCATTCTTCCCAAGTACTCCTGCCATAGGAATGGCTGATTCAGAGGAATTTGTGTACCATTTTGTACGTATACTCATTTGTCAAGTCACCATTCAGTAAATAAATGTGAATGCTATTTGTTACTTTTAAGATCTGGGTTGATGGTTACTGCACACTAATATTTGTTAAGTATGACAATGGTTATGACCAATGGAGGCCAAATCGGTTATAAAAGTGGATCCATATCATTGACTTCATTACATCACCACTCCACTCAACACACAACAAAGTCACCAAATCCAAATGGTTTGTGGTCTCTCATCAAGGATGTAGACTCCACGAGATCTACATGGACATTAAAGGTTAGGGTTGTAAGAGCTTATAAGATGCCACCACATTCTAAAGGTAGACACCAACTATATGTTCTTATCATGATGAAGATGTAAGAAACATGCATATGTTTTGGCTTTATGAGTTCATTTGTAATTGGTTTACAATATGATGTGTGTGTACAAGATAAGCGTTACACAATGTGTTTAAAAACACCTTTTTAACAATGTACATGTACTTAGTTTAGTGATCATTCATTCCGCATACAGATTATGTCAATTTGGTTGAGTTTCCTGCGTGGAATGTGAGTTTGGACCGCAGTTGGCATACTGACGGTTACGTTGTCTCGATATGAAAATTCGAAGTGACATTTTGTTACAGAGTGGTGAGGATCCGATCGCCACAATCGTGAAGAGTACTTATCCTTATTGTGAGAATATTGTCATTGACTCATCATTCTTGAAAGAGCGTGTTATTCTAACTCCAACACTTGATGTCATTGATTCAATTAGTAAACACATGAAAGCGTTGAATATTACGAATGAATCAAGGACATTTTTGAGTTCAAACAACATATGCTAATCATATTCAAATTTTGATTTTTGGCTTATTTTTGTACGCCTCAATTTTGAATAATATATGTGCATTAGGTGTTCCAAATCATTAGTTAACTCTCAAGGTTGGTACTCTAGTCGTGCTCTAAAAAACATTGATCACTCTATGGGTTATGTCATGATACGAGGTTGATAATTACAGATTTTGGAAAATCATGTTCTTGGAGCTAACATTTTAGGCACAAAATGTGATGGTCATGAAGTAGGCATGCCGAGGTTGACACTCACCTTTAGATGTAAGAATATCTTTCATGTTTTGAAGAAGGCAATTCCTGATCATGACCATTATGCAATGACTATAAATAAGAGTCAAAGTCAATCTTTATCGCATGTTGGACTTTTGGTAAAAAATTAAGTCTTTCCTAATGGTCAACTTTTCATTACAGGGTTAAGAGTTCAAAACAGTATGGGTTTGAAAATATTGGTTGGTGACTAGATTGTAAATTCTAACTCATTATAATGTTTACATTTTGTGTGGTTACAGAACATTGTGAACACTAACTCTTGTTCTTAATCATAACTATTGATTATACATCATCTATATTCTCTTTTCTATCATTTATGCCATGTAATTTTATGCATTGTTAATGTAAATAAAAAATATGACATCATTTATTAAATTTTAATCTGTGCATTACACAGGTGAGAATCTAATATTTAAAATATCACGATGTGCTCAGTAGGCTGCCTACTAGCAATTTTTTATTTTTGGATTGACTTTACTTTTTAAATGGCAAAGAGTTATTCTTAGAGTTTGGTAAAAGGAACTTTTGTTTAACTTTAAATTTTAATGTCAAAACGCCAAAAATAAAGAATGTTCCTTTAGCATGAGTTAACTCTCAAGGTTGGTACTCAGATCATACTCTGAAAAACATTGATCATTCTATGGGTTATACCATCATACGAGGTTGATAATTACAGGGATTGAATATCATGTTCTTGGAGCTGACATTTTAGGCACGAAATATGATGGTCATGAAGTAGGCATGCCGAGGTTGGCACTCACCTATAGATGTAAGAACAGGGGCGGAGCCAGGGCACTGGGCCAGACTCGGCCGGTACAAAGAATATTTTTTAAAAAAAATTCACACGAAATTTTTTACCTTGAAAATTAAGCTATTTTTAAAATTTGGGGTGGGCCATGGCCTAGGTTGGCCCACCCCTAGCTCCGCCCATGTGTAAGAATATCATTCATGTTTGAGAGAATTTCCTAAATAGGAGTGAAAAAGTTTTGAAATTCCAAAATAGCACAATCATGTTTTTATTCCTTGAATACGAGTAAATTTTTGCCAAGCTTGGCATTACTAGGCTTTAAAACATCAGAAATTTGCTCCTAATAGGACCAAATCATAGCTCTTTTACGAAAATAATATCTGCTAATGGTTTTTCCATTCATATTCCCTATTTAGTTCTAGATTAGGAAATATATTTCTAACTTTCCAAATTTACGCTTCAAGCTTTATGAAGTAAACCAAAAAAACTTCTGCTGACCTAGCTTCTTCCGCAGGAAGCCCATCCTCCATTCCTCTTCTTTTTCTTTCCACGCATCTCACCTCTGATCCCACCTATCTCTTCTTCTTTTTCCTTTGTATCACGCATCATATCTCCCACCCACCCTCCTCCCATCTTCTGTCACGCATCTCAACTCTCACCCCTTCCTTCTCCATCTATTATCTTTCTTCTCCAATTCTCCTGATCCTTACTTCTACCTTCTCTAATTTACATCTCCTCTCAACTATCTTGATCTTCGTCTTCCAGTTTCTAGTCCGCCACCGCCACTTCACTTTGACGGTTTCGCCTCCTCCATCGCCTTGTCTGTTCGTCGATTTTTTATAGTCAAATAGATAATAGGTTTTTACTCTTATTCTTCTTCTTCTTTAAGGTTCGTCATCTCCATTTTCTTTTCCTCCTTCTCTAGCCTCCTTCCTCCTCTATTTTCTTTCTTTTTAAAATTTTGTTTTCTATCTAAAATCAGAAAACATAGATCCGAAAATGGGCTTGAATAATTAGTGTTTGGAATTTTTTTAATCTAACATTTTAATTAAGAAACAATGGCATGGATATTACTTCAGGAGTTCGACTGGACAAAAATATAATCCATTTAAGTTTGGACAAAAAAGTGAGTCAAACACCATTTGCATCTTCCGCATCTCACGTTTCTTCTTCCCTTCCTGTACTTCTGCCCGTTCTTCTTTCTACCCGACCGACCGACCCCCTCTTTCTTCTTCGCCTCGTGCGTTCTTCCTCCGCTGCCTCCCTGCTGCTACTCTTCTCCTTCTCATTCTCAATCGGCTGCAATTGAAACCGAATGCCCCCTCCGTCATCTGAGATCGATGGACGTGCCCCCACCGAAACTGTCGTCCTCGATGGGAAACGCCTTTGCCGGTGCCGGATCTGGCTTCATCGGTAGATGATGACCTGTTTTGGGGCCTCCGGTTCTGGATTTGCTAAATTCAGGGACAACCATCCCGATTTGGAGCAGCAAATGTCGGATACGTCATCCTCGATGTCGGATACGGGGTTGAGGGCTAGATGAGGATCTGGTGTGTGTTAGCTTGGGGCAGGGAGTGGGGGCTGGGTGGGGATCTGATGCACGAGGATCGTGGTTGGGGACTGGGGAGCTAGTGTGTGGGCTTTGACATGGTACAGGGCAAGGTCGACATCTATGGACGTGGTAGAGGTGGTGGTTGTGGGTCTGGCAGGGGCAGTGGCGGTGGACGGTGAAAGGACGGCAGCAGTGGACAGGGCAGCGGCGGTGGGACGTGCAGGGTGGCAGTGGTGGCTTGGGCTATGCAGCTAGAAAACTCTATTGTTGTTGTTGGGGGCGGCGTCACTACTATGGCGGCGTCACTGTGGCGGCATCACTGTGGCGGCGTCACTATGCTGGCGTCACTGTGGTGGCGTCACTGTGGTGGGGTCACTATGGCGGTGTCATTGTGACGGTGGCGGCGTAATTGACGTGAAATTTTGACGGTGACCGCTTTGAGTGACATGAATAAATGAACACAGTGACATAATTTTTTCCAGTGACATTATGTTTTATAGTTCCAAGTATATGACCTCTTTAATCACTTTTTTGTCAATATTTAAAAGTACTCACATTTTTGGAATTTCAGTTCAAATTAGTAATATTTAGGGATTAACCCCTTTAATTAATACTCGTATCAATTATTTATTTTCTAAAAATAGCACTTGGATTTGAATAGATTATTTTATCAGAATTTATTGTTTATTTATTGTCTACTTATTGTCTATTTATTGTTTATTTAACATCTGATATTTTCTAAAAGTAAGGGTATTGTGGTCAATGCAGGTATAGTTGAGTCTTACGCTAATCTTCGGTCTTAGTTTTGGAAAATCATTACGTTTTGCTCCTACTTGTTGAAATCTCCCTTAAAACATGGCATTTTTTTTCAAACTTGGCAGATTACTCCTATTTAGAGAATAAAAAACATGATACTCCTATTTTGGAATTTCAAACTTCAAAGCGTTTTTACTCCTATTTAGGGCAATTTCTGTTCATGTTTCAAAGAATGCAATTCTCTATCATCATGACCTCTTCGGTAATGACTATAAATAGATTCAAGGTCAATCTTTATCGCATGTTGGACTTTTGGTAAAAAGGTCAGCGTTCCCTCATGATCAACTTTTCATTGCAGTGTTAAGAGTTAAAAAATTGTAAGGGTTTGAAAATATTTGTCGGTGACAAGATTGTGAATGCTAACTCCTTATTATAATGTTGGGAAAAGTACGGAAAAGGTACTTGTGGTTTAACTCATTTTCAGATAGGGTCATGTGTTTCATTCTTTATCAAATTGGTTCATGTGTTTGAATTCCGTTATCACAAGAGGGTCACGCCGTTAAAAACGTCTGAAAAGACCGTTAAAAGTAACTCTGATTTTCAAAAGTGCCCAAAAAATTAAAAGAAAAATACCGAAAGGTGCGCCTCAATAAGACGACCACTAGGCGATCTTTCTTTTTTGTTTTCAGCCACCCTTGTCACCGGAAAGTCAATCAAAAAAGTGATATTAGTGAAATCATTTTTAAAAAATAATTCAAACGGATCTGAAAAATCTAAAGGCGAAGATGGTTTGAAGGTCATCTTGACGAGGCGCACCTTTCGGTATTTTTCTTTTAATTTTTTGGGCACTTTTGAAAATCAGAGTTACTTTTAAGTTTTAACGGTCTTTTTCAGACGTTTTTAACGACGTGACCCTCTTGAGATAACGGAATTCAAACACATGAACCACTTTGATAAAGAATGAAACACATGACCCTATCTGAAAACGGGTCCAACCACAATTATCTTTTCCGTACTTTTCCCTATAATGTTTACATTTTGTATGATTACATAACATTGTGAATGCTAACTTATGTTCTTCTTAATCATAACTATTGATTATAAATCAACTACATTCTCTTTTCAATCATATATGTATTGTAATTTAATTATTGTTAATGTAAATAAAAATAGGACATCAGTTATTAAATTTTGTTGCATGCATCACACGAGTGAGAATCTAATACGAGTTTAAATACGAGTTTTTATTAAATACGAGTTTTTTAATTTTTGGACTGACTTTACTTTTTAAATGGCAAAGAGCTATTCTTATTGTTTGGTAAAAGGATCTTTTGTTCAACTTTAATTTTTAATGTCAAACGCCCAAAATAAAGAATTTTCCTTTAGCACTTTTCTCATA